GGTCTAGTTCTGGGGTTTCTGTTCTATTCCATTGGTGTATGTGTCTGTTTTTGTGCCAATACCATGCTATCTTGATGATGACAGCTTTGTAGTAGAGGCTAAAGTCTGGGATTGTGATTCCACCTGCTTTGGTCTTCTTCAAAATTACTTTGGCTATTCGGGGCTTTTTGTGGTTCCATATGAATTTTAGGATTGCTTGTTCTACTTTCGAGAAGAATGCTGGTGCAGTTTTGATTGGGATTGCATTGAATGTGTAGATAGCTTTGGATAATATTGACATTTTGACAATATTTATTCTTCCAATCCATGAGCAGGGAATGTCTTTCCATTTCTTTAAATCTTCTTCAATTACCTTCATAAGCTTTCTATAGTTTTCAGCATACATATCTTTTACATCTTTGGTTAGATTTATTCCTATGTATTTTATGCTTCTTGGTGCAATTGTGAATGGGACCAGTTTCTTTATTTGTCTTTCTGTTGCTTCATTGTTAGTGTATAAGAATGCTACTGATTTCTGTACATTGATTTTGTATCCTGCAACTTTGTGAATTCATGTATCAGTTCTAGCAGACTTTTGGTGGAGTCTATCGGATTTTCCATGTATAATATCATGTCATCTGCAAAAAGCGAAAGCTTGACTTCATCTTTGCCAATTTGGATGCCTTTGATTTCCTTTTGTTGTCTGATTGCTGATGCTAGAACTTCCAACACTATGTTAAACAACAGCGGTGAGAATGGACATCCTTGTTGTGTTCCTGATCTCAGGGAAAAAGCTCTCAGTTTTTCCCCTTTGAGGATGATGTTAGCTGTGGGCTTGTCATAAATGGCTTTTATGATCTTTAAGTATGTTCCTTCTATCCCGACTTTCTCAAGGGTTTTTATTAAGAAAGGGTGCTGGATTTTGTCAAAGGCCTTTTCTGCATCGATTGACAGGATCATATGGTTCTTCTCTTTTTTGTTGTTAATGTGATGTATCACGTTGATTGATTTGCGAATGTTGAACCAGCCCTGCATCCCAGGAATGAATCCCAGTTGATCATGGTGAATTATTCTTTTTATATGCTGTTGAATTCGATTTGCTACTATCTTATTGAGAATTTTTGCATCCATATTCATCAGGGATATTGGCCTGCAGTTCTCTTTTTTACTGGGTCTTTGGTTTAGGAATCAAAGTAATACTGGCTTCATAGAATGAGTCTGGAAGTTTTCCTTCCCTTTCTATTTTTTGGAATAGCTTGAGAAGGATAGGTATTATCTCTGCTTTAAACGTCTGGTAGAACTCCCCTGGGAAGCCATCTGGTCCTGGACTCTTATTTGTTGGGAGATTTTTGATGACTGATTCAATTTCTTCGCTGGTTGTGGGTCTGTTCAAGCTTTCTATTTCCTCCTGATTGAGTTTTGGAAGGGTGTGGGTGTTTAGGAATTTGTCCATTTCTTCCAGGTTGTCCAATTTGTTGGCATATAATTTTTCATAATATTCCCTGATAATCGCTTGTATCTCTGAGGGATTGGTTGTAACAATTCCATTTTCATTCATGATTTTATCTATGTGGGTCATCTCCCGTTTCTTTTTGAGAAGCCTGGCTAGAGGTTTGTCAATTTTGTTTATTTTTTCAAGAAACCAACTCTTGGTTTCGTTGATCTGCTCTACAGTTTTTTTAGATTCTGTATTGTTTATTTCTGCTCTGATCTTTATTATTTCTCTTCTTCTGCTGGGTTTGGGGTGTCTTTGCTGCTCTGCTTCTGTTTCCTTTAGGTGTGCTGTTAGATTTTGTATTTGGGATTTTTCTTGTTTCTTGAGATAGGCCTGGATTGCAATGTATTTTCCTCTCAGGACTGCCTTTGCTGCGTCCCAAAGTGTTTGGATTGTTGTATTTTCATTTTCATTTGTTTCCATATATTTTTTAATTTCTTCTCGAATTGCCTGGTTGACCCACTCATTCGTTAGTAGGGTATTCTTTAACTTCCATGCTTTTGGAGGTTTTCCAGACTTTTTCCTGTGGTTGATTTCAAGCTTCATAGCATTGTGGTCTGAAAGTATGCATGGTATGATTTCAATTCTTGTATACTTATGAAGGGCTGTTTTGTGACCCAGTATGTGATCTATCTTGGAGAATGTTCCATGTGCACTCGAGAAGAAAGTATATTCTGTTGCTTTAGGATGCAGTGTTCTAAATATGTCAAGTCCATCTGATCCAATATCTCATTCAGGGCCCTTGTTTCTTTATTGACCGTGTGTCTAGGTGATCTATCCATTTCTGTAAGCGGAGTGTTAAAGTCCCCTGCAATTACCACATTCTTATCAATAAGTTGCTTATGTTTGTGAGTAATTGTTTTATATATTTGGGGGCTCCTGTATTTGGTGCATAGACATTTATAATTGTCAGCTCTTCCTGATGGATAGACCCTGTGAATATTATATAATGCCCTTCTTGATCTCTTGTTACAGCCTTTAATTTAAAGTCTAGTTTGTCTGATATAAGTATGGCTACTCCAGCTTTCTTTTGACTTCCAGTGGCATGATAAATAGTTTTCCATCCCCTCACTTTCAATCTGAAGGTGTCCTCAGGTCTAAAATGAGTCTCTTGTAGACAGCAAATAGATGGGTCTTGTTTTTTTTATCCATTCTGATACCCTATGTCTTTTGGTTGGCGCATTTATTCCATTTACATTCACTGTTATTATAGAAAGATATGGGTTTAGAGTCATTGTGATGTCCATAGGTTTCATGCTTGTAGCAATGTCTCTGGTACTTTGTCTCACAGGATCCCCCTTAGCATCTCTTGTAGGGCTGGTTTAGTGGTGACGAATTCCTCCAGTTTTTGTTTGTTTGGGAAGACCTTTATCTCTCCTTCTATTCTAAATGACAGACTTGCTGGATAAAGGATTCTCGGCTGCATATTTTTTCTGTTCATCACATTGAAGATCTCCTGCCATGCCTTTTTGGCCTGCCAAGTTTCAGTAGAGAGATCAGTCACGAGTCTTATAGGTCTCCCTTTATATGTTAGAGCACGTTTATCCCTAGCTGCTTTCAGAATTTTCTCTTTATCCTTGTATTTTGCCAGTTTCACTATGATATGTCATGCAGAAGATCAATTCAAGTTATGTCTGAAGGGAGTTCTCTGTGCCTCTTGGATTTCAATGCCTTTTTCCTTCCCCAGACCCGGGAAGTTCTCAGCTATAATTTCTTCAAGTACCCCTTTAGCACCTTTCCCTCTCTCTTCCTCCTCTGGAATACCAATTATGCGTATATAATTTCTCTTTAGTGCATCACTTAGCTCTCTAATTTTCCCCTCATACTCCTGGATTTTTTTTATCTCTTTTTCTCAGCTTCTTCTTTTTCCAAATTTTATCTTCTAGTTCACCTATTCTCTCCTCTGCCTCTTCAATCTAAGCCGTAGTTGTCTCCATTTTATTTTGCAGCTCATTGATAGCATTTTTTAGCTCCTCCTGGCTGTTCCTTAGTCCCTTGATCTCTGTAGCAAGAGATTCTCTGCTGTCCTTTATACTGTTTTCAAGCCCAGCGATTAATTTCATGACTATTATTCTGAATTCACTTTCTGTTATATTGTTTAAATCATTTTTGATCAGTTCGTTAGCTGTTGTTATTTCCTGGACATTTTTCTGAGGGGAATTCTTCCATTTCGACATTTTGGATAGTCCCTGGAGTGGTGCGGGACTGCGGGGCACTTCCCCTGTGCTGTCTTGAATAACTTGTGTTGGTGGGCAGGGCCGCAGTCAGACCTGATGTCTGCCCCCAGCCCACTGCTGGGGCCACAGTCAGACTGGTGTGTGCCTTCTCTTCCCCTCTCCTAGGGGTGGGATTCACTGTGGGGTGGCGTGGCCCGTCTGGGCTACTTGCACACTGCCAGGCTTGTGGTGCTGGGGATGTGGTTATTAGCTGGGGTGGATCGGCCAGGTGCACAGGGGCAGGAGGGGCAGGCTCAGCTCGCTTTTCCTTTGGAGTTCCACTTTGAGAGGGGCCCTGCAGCACCAGGAGGGAGTCAGACCCGCCGGAGGGATGGATCCGCAGAAGCACAGCTTTGGGTGTTTGTGTGGTACAAGTAAGTTCCCTGGCAGGAACTGGTTCCCTTTGGGATTTTGGCTGGGGGATGGGCAAGGGAGATGGTGCTGGTGAGCGCCTTGTGCCACGCCAAGCTGCGCTCCTTCGTCCGGGGCTGAACAACTCTCCCTCCCGTTGTCCTCCAGCCGTCCTGTTCTCTGAGCAGAGCTGTTAGTTTATAACCTTCCAGATGTCAAGTCCCACTTGCTGTCGGAACACTCCGTCAGGCCCCTCCACTTTTTCAAGCCAAACTCCAGGACTCTGCTTGGCCAGCGGGCTGCCCCTCTCCCAGCTCCCTCCTGCCAGTCCCTGGAGTGCGCACCGCCTCTCCGCCCTTCCTACCCTCTTCCGTGCACCTCTCCTCTGTGCTTGGCTCTGGAGACTCCGTTCTGCTAGTCTTCTGGCGGTTTTCTGGGTTATTTAGGCAGGTGTAAGTGATCAGCAGGACGTGCAGTGAGCCCAGCGTCCTCCTATGCCACCATCTTCCCAGGATCCTACCAATGGCCTTCTAATAGGTAAATAAATATTATATCTTAGTAACTCACTTGAACCCTCTTGTCCCATTCTTTGCATTTAATTTTTTAAGTTTATTTATTTTTGAGAGAGAAACAGAGAGCGTGAGCTGGGGAAGGGCAGAGAGAGAAATGGAAACACAGAATCCCAAGCAGGCTCCATCCACACTGTCAGCACAGAGCCCAATGTGAGGCTCAAACTTGTGAATAGCGAGATCATGACCTGAGTCAAAACCAAGAGTCGAATGCTTAAGCTTAACCGACTGAGCCACCCATGCGCCCCACATTCTTTGCATGTTAATGGAGGACAATATTAGATAAATGAATCATTAAATTTTAGGAACAAGCACAAGGAAAGTGCTTTGAGAAGACTTAATAGAATCAAGCAACTTGTATCACATAATCACTCTTTACTACCCTTACAGGAAGGCTGGCTCTACTCGTACTAGGTAAGAGTGTACTTCTCTACTATGTTCCCAGGATGACACAAGGGAACAAACTCTTCATTTGAAGACACATGTTAACTCTCCCTTTGGAGCTCACCATAAGCCCTATAAATCAGTCAGCTCAATCAATGTCTTCAGTCTATTTGCATTGCCAAGAGTGCTACCCATACTCAAACCGACACTGCCTCTTCAGTTTTCAACAGGTAGCTATTTCTGTTAAGCTCCTTCATCATTAAATTCTCAGACTTGCACTCTAAAAGTGCAAGTATGCAGTCAGCAGTATGGAAGTAAGCAGGTAGATTTACAAAGTCAAACCCAGTGAGGTTGAGCAGTCTAGAGCTGAAATGAGAATCCAGCAAATTTAAAGGTGTGTATGCTATGTGACCTAGCAATTTGACTCCTAGTATATATCCTCAATGTGCCCAAGGTAACAGTATGCAATTGCTAATGAAATGACAAAAAAAATGGAGCCTGTCTACTTATTTATGGAAAAGAAAAATATATAGCAGCAAAACTGAATGAGAATTACATTTATTCATAGCCATGAATCTCAAATATATGTTAGTGAAAAAGGCAGGAATAACATATACAATAAGACACCAAGGGGCGCCTGGGTGGTGCAGTCGGTTAAGCGTCCGACTTCAGCCAGGTCACGATCTCGCGGTCCGTGAGTTCGAGCCCCGCGTCAGGCTCTGGCCTGATGGCTCAGAGCCTGGAGCCTGTTTCCGATTCTGTGTCTCCCTCTCTCTCTGCCCCTCCCCCGTTCATGCTCTGTCTCTCTCTGTCCCAAAAATAAATAAACATTAAAAAAAAAATATGGATGGAAGTGATAAATAGAAAATTCAGGATGCTGGTTAGCTCTTGGGAGGGATTTATAGGAAAGAGATTAAAGAGGAATACAGAGAGATTCTATTGTGACTATAATATATAATAATTAATTTCTTAAGCTGGGTAGTGGGTACAGGAGCCTCAATGTATTATTCTTGGTATTTTTTTATATGTCTGAAATATTCTTCTTAACAAAATAAAAGATAAATTTTAGGATGAACTGATTCATAAATTAATATTGAACTGTTGCAGACCATGTGATTCTAAATAAAAATCACATCAGCTCTCAGTGATGCATTCTCCTTTTCTGAAATGAGGGACTTGAACTAAGAGATATCTAAAGTCCCTTCCACCCCCCCCAAAAAGAATTAAATCTTTCAACCTGAAGTTTCTCCAAATAAATGCTGTGTTTCTCAAAGACAGGGAACATGTCTTTACAGCTTTCCATGTTCAGTGTCTTTTCCATTGTCCATAGATTCCCAATAAATTTTAAGGTCTTACATAATAATATAATGTATAGTGACTGAATAAACAAGCAGTTACAATAAAAACAACAAAACCCTTTTTTTGCATTATTAGCTCCTCCAAAGTCAGATAGTTGTTTAGAAAATGGTACAAAGTGACTGTAATCAATTCTGGGTTCCGTGTGTGAAGTAGTATCCAAGGAGAAACTGCTTTCTCAGTCAATACCACACCTTTAGCTATACCTAACTATGCAGATCAAGTATGCTTTTGATTACAGACAAAAGAGAAAGTATCCTCATGGTTCTCCTGTTAATCCCTACCACTGGAATTTCAAAAGGATCCCCCTTAGGCCTGCCTAGCTGGCTCAGTCCATAAAGCAAGTGACACTTGATCTTGGGGTTGTGAGTTTGAGCCCCATGTAAGGTATAGAATTTACTTTTAAAAAAATAAATGAAACCAAAAGGATTCCCCTTTGATGATGAGTAAGAGGTAATATTTTCTTAAAAATGCAAAGTTCAAAAGTGTCAATCCAATTTTCACTCCTTAAAGAGCACGTGGAAACAGATAATTTGGGTGGTATACATACAGCTTCAGTCTTACTTAACTTTTAAAATACCCCCAAATATATTCGCCTGTCCCACCCCTGCCCCCTGAATATTGTTTGACAGTTACTTTGGACCTCACTTTGTTCTGAAATCTCTGTGCATTTTTGGCTCATGTGTACTTGGAAAGTACTTGTACTTGCTTAGAAATAGCAGGAAGATTTTATCAGGAATTGGAGGTGATCAAAGAGATTGTCCAAAGAGCAGAAAATTGAGATTGGTGTCTTACCTAGTACCCTGGTAAGGGGTCTGTGAGGCTTTAGCCTAGGATGTAATTGTGCTTGGAAAAGAGACCATGTTGGGGAGAAATTCACAGTTCTTATATAGACCACTTATGCTGGACAATACTTAGAGATTACAGCTGAATATGGGGAGTTATTCAATGGAGTGGAATCAATGCCAGAAAACGTATTTCCTAATTGGTCCTATTGTACATGGAGTGCCAATGAATGCAGCCACAGAGTGCTGAAATGATTAATCACTGAATTTCAAGAATGCACTCAGGTGCCATTAAGCAAAAACTGAAACTCAGAACCTGTTTATCCCAGTGAAGCTTAATATTGCTTAGGCTATGGTAAAGATGGTGGGGAGCAAGTTATCAACTCATCTTCCCAGCTTAATGGCCAGAAGAGGAGATTTAAAGGAGATTTTCTAACTCTAGCTGGCCTAGTTTCTCTTGTCATTTTGAGAAAATGAGTCTTCTTCTTCTTTAGAAAGACAAGTAGATCTCTCCTGTGGCCAGAATAAACTGACAGGAATACACTTTTGTCAGTAAATTAGATAGAGTTTGGTTCATGAAAAACACAAAAAAAAGCCAACTCGGTGGGAGCAAACAAGTTGAGTTGAAAGTCAATTAACTTCACCCTCTGCAACCTAGTTATACAATGAAAGCGTTTTAAAAGATGAAAATTTGGTTGTGTCCAGCAAATATTATATTTATTTGGAGCCTGATTCTTTGTTTTTTAGACAGGGAGATGCTTATAACAATAGAGGAAAGTTACTAAGCAAATATAAACATAAATGTGGAACTAAGCTTACCCATATGGATAGATATACATGAGACAGTATGACAAATCAGAAATAAAGTGGGGATATAATGAGGTCAAAAGGAAAGAATTGAGAGTTTGGGAACAAGTGCTACTGGTCTGATAACTGTGGACAGTTAACTGTGAATCTGAGGCCGAAATTTGAGGAACTTTGAAATCTAGTTAAAGAGTTTGCAGGGGAAATGACTTGATGTAGCAGTGTGGTGGGCACTAGGATCCCCCTTCAATGAAGATTCATGTCCCAGCTCCTGAGAGTGCTTTGAGACAGCAGAGCTCAATTGTCAGTTCCTTTAGGGATTGTCTTATCTGCAAAGAGCCACCTCCTCCAAGGTTATGCCCTGCCCCAAGGTGGCCAGCATCTGGTGATTGATCAACATGGGGACCTCAGTTAGCATATGAGCTGCCATATTGTGTAGGGTCTTAAAGGTATAAATGGCACCTTTCATACTGCATTCCAGACGTGGTCGAGGAACTCTGTACAGTTGTGAGTGCATAGAGCAGTAGGTATAATTTGTTTGTAGCTGAGAAGGACAATGTACACCAGAAGGCCACTTCTGGAGGCCCAGCAGTGGGCTAAGAACTTTCTCAATGACTCTCCTCTCATAGTGGGGAATGAGTCTGGGGTGGCTCCTGCTCACAGGGCTCAGAGAGCTGATTTAGGGTGAATGGGTTACAGCATTCTTTTATCTGCTGGCCAGTCTAGCTTCAAATTTTACCACAAATCTATGCTTTAGGACAAGGGTGCTCTTTTTAGCTTTATATATTTGCTTAGTAAAATTATGTGACCACTTACTATTAATTTAACATCCTGAAGTATAAGGGAAAGAAACCGTGAGCCAGGCATAACTTATCTGCAACCTGAGCAACTAGTTCCTTTGGAATCAGACACAGAAATATGGGTGGGTTTTAAAGTCTTCTGATGAACTTGTGCAGACAATTTAGGTTTACAGTCACTTTTGTATCCAGTATTCCAAAACAGTAGTGCCTGGGACCTGTTTGCTCTTCAGGGTATTGTTGGCTTAAAGAGAGAGATGTCTTCAAATTCAAACTCTTTATCACTGAAGAATCTAAATTACATCTGCCCAGGAAACCTGAATTCCACCATTGCTGCCTGGGCACTTGTAGATAAAGTGTCTCGTTGTTCATGGCTCTGGGTCCTGGAAGACTTTTTTAATTAACACAGCCTCTTTCTTTTGTCAGCTTCACTCCATTTAGGGTGGAGCTGCTTAGAGTTAATTTTAAATTACAAAACTAGTCCTTGAGAGGCTGGCCACAACCAGATCCAAACTGCAACTCTATTTGCTGTTACCTTCATTTCTACCTGGTTTTGTCTCCTAACTGGTGCTGTGATAAGATCAGCAGTGACTTTAGGAAGACATAGAATGAGGGAAAAAAGAGAAATTTAAGGCCTTTTATTCTAACTTCTGCAGGAAGTTTAGTAGGCAAAGGAATATTTTTGTTTACCTCTAGCTTTTTAAAAAATTTCTATTTAATCAACAAACTGTATTCATCAGAAAAAAAAAAAAAACAACAACCTCCCGATACTTGAGCAAGTGGATGCTTATTGTCTGAATAATCTGCTAAGGGGCAATGAGAAGATCAAGAATAATATTTTTAAGGAAGCAGCCCAGTCAGTGTGGTAAACATTAGTGCTGCTGTCCAGTATTATTTGTTGTTCTCTTCCTCTGAGCCCTGGGGAAGACTGCACTTCCCATTCTTTGAAGTTAGCAGACATGTGATTCGCTTTAGTCAATGACATGTGAGAAGGCATGCCTATTAATTCTGGGTAGAAGTATTCAAGAGGCAATGTGTAATCCTTATGCTTGCTTTTTCCCTGCTACGACAAACACTTAAAGTATCATGAAATAAATTTTTACTTATTCCTGCAGGTAACCTAGGCTATCCTAGCTAACTAAGCTAACTATTGTGACACTGATCATCCTCAAAGACAATATCTATATTAATATCTGGGGATTACATAATCAAAAAGTCTTCTGGTTGCTCAGTCAGCAAATCTTATTCTCTCTGAAATTTTAGTGCATCACTCTTATGTGACAAAGGAGAACAAAAGATCACCAAATATTTGAGGAAGACTCCAACTTGAGAGGCCAAGTACAAAGCCAACAGGAAAAAAAAAAGAACTCAGGAAAAACACAGATAACATGTACCAGGAGAAAAGAAATTATCATTTATATCCTCAGAAAGATGAGAGCTATTCTATCCATGAAAGAAAACAGAAAGCTGTATAAAGTGAAAAAATAG